TATATATGTATATATGTATATATGTATATATGTATTTAGAGACACAACCCCTGGTATGCCCAAATATGGGAGGAAGCTTACTGCTTCCTTTCTCTGTCTATCGGCTTGTCACAAGAGACCATCCAGACAGAAACCCAATATTTTTACTGTTCCCTTTGTTACATTATTTATCAGCACAAATACAACATATACAAATAGATGCAAACACAAAAGTCCATGAAGCATGTAATTCTTTGATATGCCTTCTTTAAAAAAATCTCATAGCTCCCTTCCTTCTCCCCCACCCTTCTTATTCCCTTCTTAATTTTGATAACTCTTTGCTCATTTCCAAATAGCACCCTCTGTAATAGGGAGAGGTGTCCCATATCACAGATGTGAGGACTTGCACAGAAGGTGCTTTGGATAAAGCAATCACAACATATCCAGAAATGATTTCCAAGAAAAGGAGGGTGAAAGCCCTATAGTGAGTACAAACTTTCTTAAAAATAAATGTTTATAGGAGCATACACTGGATAACAGATATGTATGTTGTGTTCTGCCATGACACATCTATACTTGCATGGTTTATAAGCTTTATAGCCATCATGCTGAGTGTTCATTAATTCTATGTATAAAACAAGTTGTCAATTAAAACATGTGAGGAACCAGATTATCAGTGAAATATCCTTCCTGTGAATTCCATGGTGTCTCTGTACCACTCTTACCACATCATGAATATCTGAATCCAGCCTGGGACTTGCTGTACATTTGGTATTTTTTATACTAAATTTTGTGGAGGGTTTAAAAATGGTGTCAGCCAGGGTATTCAACAGGGCTTACAAAATTTGGCTGTGGGCAGTGTACAATTAGGTGAAAGTCATATGAGCTTCCTGAGTCACAAGTTGTCCAACTCCATTTTAAAGTAATACACAGCTGGAACACCAGCAGCTGAACCTGTCTGGACTCAGACATTAAGCAGGGTCAGTCCTGGTCAATACTTTAATGGAAAAATATCAGATAACACTATAGCTGTAAATTGGACTAGGAAGCTGAAGAAAATATAGAATATATAAAAGAGCCGAGGTGGTGCAGTGGTTAGGGTGCAGTACTGCAGGCCACTTCAGCTGACTGTTATCTGCAGTTCAGCGGTTCTAATCTCACCGG